CGGGGGCGGGAGTACAGCATGATACACCGGTACTTTCTAAGGTGAAAACTTGCAAGTATGCATAAGTGTACTCCTGTACGACCACAACCGACTCATATGGACTTCAGTCAAGCCTTTTGTTGTAATTATTTTTAATAGTAGTATTAGTATTTCGCGATGACCGAATTACAAGAATTCAACCAAAACACAGAGAGGGATGAATTTAGGAATTTGTATTTGGCGGAATTATTATTCAACTCATATAAGAAATATATTAACAAGCAACAGTAAGTATTTAAACAATACAGAGATAGAAATTATCAGTCACCACATCTGCCACACGTCGAAAATCTCCTTGCGTATTTATAACGATGTCTCGGTTTGCTTGCAAGTAGCTGCGACCTACTAACTGATCCTGTGATATTATTTTCATCGGTATCATCTGGACTTATTTCTGAATTATCTACAAAATCAGGACTAGTAGTGAATCATTAAAATTATAATCGGAACGACCTACTTCATTTATTTTCACTTTGTCCAGATGTCTGTTATGAACTGAGTGATCTTTGATGTCTAATATCTTCACCACTCGATTTCCCATTTTTTGTAGTATGATTCCAGCAGAAGGTCTATAGTCATTCTATCTGTAATAATGTACATTAGAAGTCGTGGACATCAGATGCTTTCTGAGAGTTCGAGATTCGAATAGTTTTGCAGGACTTTCACGGGTACTTGTATGCTCTGCATTCAACAGACGCAATCTATGCATATGCAGCAATTCCTTCGTTTTGATCAGTTGCTCTCTCGTCTCAGTCAGCTGCTGACGAATGGACAACCAGCCAGCTTGCATTTCACTCACTTTTTTCCGAAACACTCCACACTGATGTTCTAAATCCTATTGCACACCTGACGCTGACTGAACAAAACGTTCAAGTTCACGGATCCTTTTACTACTTCGCTTATTCTCAGATTCCAGCTCAACAATTTGAGTTACCAGTCTGCAGATTTTTTTCTCCTCCATTAAACAGGAATTCTCAGCAGCTGAAAGTTTAACTGTCAAATTTTTATTCATCGCCCGTAAACGACCAACCAATTCATTGCTACTTTTCAAGCTCTCTTCAACCTCTAAGAAATTTTTCATGTTTTAGACAGATCGCATCGTATCTCGGCTACCTCATTTTTAAAAACACGTGATACACTTGACGCTTGAGCTGCTGAACTTGTAGTGAAGGTTTTCATTGGATGAGATTGAGTATTTCGAAAAGTTGAAAGACACATTGACTCCATTTTACTAGATAGATTGGGAGAATCATAAGAATTCTGAGTAACATAAGTATTCGAACTTCTCCAAACAGTCTTGATGTGTACAACTTTACCACATTTATGAAACTTAGCACCCCGAAAACGGCAAGTGCTTCGTAGATGAATCTTTCCACATGAAAAACACAGTTTAATGTTTTTTTATCTCTCGCTGCATTCTATTACATGTGGACGACAGTTTGGATTTCTCTCCATGAACGTTTGTATTTTCGACTTTGGACAGCATGACATCAGCTACTGACGTAGTGGGAGCAGAGTATTCACTGTTGACATCTTCATATGTAATACATAAATCTTTAGCAGTTTCAAAGGTACAAGGAGGAATCTGAATTAACCCTTTCTCTAACTTAGGAATATTGACTCCAGCAATTAAACGATCACGTAGTTGAGTATGCAGCTGATCTTCAAAGTTGCACTTTAAAGCTTGTATCTGAAGCTGAAGAATAAAGTCTCTAATCTTCTCGCTGGGAGCACGAACCAGTTTGTTGAACTGAGCCCCCTCTCGTGTTGCACTTCAAATCTTAGGGTAGAAGTTAGTCTCTGTAGTATTAATGCATCACAGGGCAAGTGTATTCAAAATTACTTCATTGTTGCTGCTTCTACACCTGTTCTAGCATCCCTTGAAATGTCAACAGAATTATAAGTTATACTTGCCAAAATAAAGCGCATTATTAATCGGGTGTCTACATAACGTAATACTGCGACGTAATGCATTAAACCTTTGCATCTATTTCAGTTGAAGCGTTAATTCAACTATTATGACTAAGGGTGTTAACATAGAATTTCATGCGACCTTTGCAGTAGATGAATAATTGAGTAAATTCAGGACATCACTATTTCAGTGACACTAAACTATGCCACCAACTACGTTTTCACTTCCTTTTAACAAATCAATCCTTCATGTTGTCATGATAAGAAGTCCACTTCCACTGTAATAGAATAAAACAAATGTACTCATCAGGGTCGAAATTATATTTCATGAAAAACAGTAACAAGTAATTCTCTGTACGCAACTATTAGTTATAATTATTTCGTCTGTATTGAACTGCTGTGACCAGCTTGAATGATTCTACTGGGCTTCTGAAATTAAAAGCATGAAGTGTACGATTGATTATGCCGCTATCCGACCATGCACATGGTCCAGGGTTCGATCTCTGGCCAACGCACACCTAACATTAATAGTCAGCCTGGTAAATTTGGATCACCGATATCACATGTTGAAAATTCCATAGTTGTATCAAAATACTTTGTGGAATCAAGCTACAATAAAGTTAAAATAAACACGTAATAATAAAATAGAAGAAAGAAATGTAAAAGTCGTACAATTTTTTACTTCATTACATCCTCTCATAACGATTCATCTCTTTTCTCCTTCGGTAGTCATGACAGCATTTCTCTGTGATTTCAACTGTCATATATATTACAATCTTTGTCAAGCAAGCAGACGATGCCTCACATGTGAGTGTCATTTTTAACTTTGGTAGATAGTTTACACATCGGAAAAGCGGTAATTATGGAGTCTTCAGTAGCACGTAGTTGTACAGAACCTAAGTATTTCCTTTGGATAATTTTCCTAACAAGCATTTGTAGCATCCCCATAACTTTGATAGAAAGTTTTTAAGCTGCATTCATTTTCATCACCTGTGCCTTAACGGATAACACCACCCATAACTACTTATGCTTCCGCGTTTCAACATGAATTTCATGAAGTCTCTCCAGACTACATACTACTTGGGATGTGGCAAAAAAAATATCAGTCGTAAGTGTAGCTTCCATATCTATCGTAGACACAGGTCTGAAAGTGATATGACTTGCGTAACACTCGTACTAGCGGTAGGAGGGACCTGCAGGCTACTCTTCGACAGCAAGGCAGTACTAACTGTAAGCAATGTGACATTTCCGAAGAACTATGCATAGTATTCTTGTTATCCAATGAACAGTAATGTCAAGATAAGTTGGTGCAACTGGATGCGGTAAGTAGTTACATTCTGTTAATATTCCATGCAAGAGTGAAAGTTCCACTGGTATCAAACATTCAACTTAATATCTTTCACTACGAACTTCATCAAAATGGACATCATCACAGAAAAAGTTCAAGAATGGTGTCCCAAAGGATGCGAACGCACGAGCGACCTTCAGCCGACCGATCATAAAATAAGTAACTTTTACACACAAAATGATGTATATTTACAAGAAAATGCATGAAAGCACATTAAACAGGGTATCTTTATCTAACATGACTTAAAAATACGTCCCAGTTATAATGAGGAGTATCAGTTGCTAAGCTAGACTAGTTTCTGTACATGTGTTCACCGAGGTAAACTGAATATGAGTTGTCTTCGTGAATTGTTTGTCTCTCTTATCCTCTTGTGCAGTCCTCCCAAAAAGCCCTCGGTTGCGTTACTATGGTTTCTAGTTAGAGGATCGACGGCTACTTACCAGCAAAATGAGAATAATTAAACAAATTAAAATAATAACCATAAACTTAATACTAACCCTAATCACAACCCTTATCCTAATCGTAAACCTAATTCTAATGGTAATTGTGACACTAATACTAACCCTAGCCCTAATACTTACCTTAATTCTAATCGTAACCCCACGAGCTATTACCACTTTATCCCAACAGTACATAAGGATGTGATCTGAGTGAAATTTGCTGCTTAGTTGGTGAATAGCGTTTGTATTTCAGCCATCATAATGACAGGTGTCGTCAGTCAACGACTAGCATGCGTTCAAGGCCATTGGAGCTTTCGAAATCCTAGGAGGCTATTGCTGAACTTTGACACTCATCAGAACAAATATAAAACTGATGTCTGAAAAATAATTCTTCCAGTAATTTCGGTCCCGTGCATGAACAAATGCCGTAAGATTAACCGTTGTCAGTAGTCAACTTTTAGACCGGATAATCCCCAACAGTTCACAAATATAAAACTCTTGAGGTTTGCAAATAAAATTAAGTCTTTTCTGTACATAATTTCTCTTAATTCATTCCTTTACGTAAAAAATTCGTATGGCAGACCAGAATAGTCGTACTCCCGAACATGCCCCAAATCGACAAAAATGGGGAAAATCGTGTCTAAAATGGGGACAAAATGGGGACATTGCATTGAGGAAAAATGGGGACAAAATGGGGAAATAGTAAGATTTTCCCCCTTTTCCCCATTCTCCCCATTTTGTCCCCATTATCCCCATTTTGTCCCCATTTTGTAAAGTCCAGTTGTCCCCACCATGACCCCATTTTCCCCATTCTGTCCCCACTTTGTCCCCATTCTGTCCCCGTTTTCCCCTTTCTGTCCCCACTTCGTCCCCATTCTGTCCCCACTATTATCCCCTTTGTCCCCATTCTGTCCCCACTATTACCCCATTTTCCCCATTCTGTCCCCACTATTACCCCATTTTCCCCATTCTGTCCCCACAGTTTCGCCAATCTGCACTCGGAATTCGCATAGTTCCCCCATTTAGTCGCCAAGATTACGCCATTCCGTTCCCAAAAATCGCATTATTTCCTTATACTGTCCCCGGAATATTCCACCGTTAACCTGGTAAATTTCCCCCCTATAACTCATTTACTACAGCTTTGTATTGATTACGTTAAACAACTCAAAAGTCAAATCAAGGTTTTTTACAGGAAAAAATTATATTTGAATTGTTGGATTTAAAGGAAAACAGTTTACAAGATTTCGATAAATCAATTCTTTAGGATTAATAAACAGTTTCAGTTGCGATGAATACACACAATTGGAATGATAGCCTTGTTATTCAATATCTCATTGCACTTGTTCTAATTGTCCCCATCGTCAAGTAGATCCATTGAAGTGTCCTGAAAAGAAGGAAAAATTAATCATTAAGATAGTAATCCATGAAATACTAAACGTCTTCATTTAGGTTTTAAATTTTATTTCGTTAATGAGTGTAATTGAAATTATTTGTCTGTATAATAGAAATACTCACACTTAAAGACCTTAAGTTTCATTAATTTCTACAGCATGTACTTATTTAAATGGTAACTTACAGGAGAGATCCTCTGATCACTTTTCTTTTTGTCAACTGCAACCTTTAAAAAATAAAAAAACAATTTAGTTAATTTTTATTTATAACATGAAAGGGTTTGCAGTGTATATACACTGCAATGCTAGTATAGTAGCATTAATTTAACCGAAAACGTTTACTTACTCTTCGCCGGCTATCCCTTTTGTCTACGCGATCACGTATATCGTGGAAGTATGTCTTTACAGTATTTTTTAGAATTTTCTTTACGTCGTCATCAGAAACTGTAGCCGAAACGAACTTGCTGACAATGACGGCTAAAAGAAATAATTACATAAAACAAGCTTACACGTTATAACTGCATAAAAGGTGCATTTCGTGAGAGCCAATTTCTTTGGAGTTCCAAATGCTGTAAAACGAGTTGACAGCTTAGGATCCATAACATAATTTAGCATTGCTCTCAACGAAGACTCCGGATTGAAAGATAATTTTTCCACCATTTTCATCATCTGAAATTAAGTAAAGGTTTATTGTGAACTTACGAATGATTCTTTAAATTTGGGATTTTTAAGTGACGCCTCTAGTTGGGTGAATTCTTCTTCAGTAGTTACGGGGAATTGCAGTTGACTATTGTCAATGGTTGATTTCCCACTTCCAACGGCGGCCACACACGCTGACTTATTCACTGACAACAATTGCGCCATCATTGTTTTCAGCGACTGAAATTCTGCTTTCATTTCTCCTTTAAGGGACTGCATTTCCGCTCTAATTGACTGCAACTCATTGGCTACTTTATTATCTGATTCACAGTTTTCCTTACTGCAAAGTAAATACTAATGAAAAGTGACATACGTAGTCTGCTGAACTAGTTGCGCTATAGGTGAAGAAGTTGCCACTGGCATTTGTTGAGTGGAAGTGCTGGAGGAGTAATGATATTAAAGGAATGCGTTACCTGGCTATCGGTGACATAACAGTTGCCATGAAATTTGTTGTCGGGTATTTTGAAGGCAAACAAACTTTCTGTGCCTCCACTGCTTCAAGTTCCATTGAGTCGTAAGCGTAAGACGAGTTCTTCGTCTCAACTCTGCATTCTGTGATTAAGCAATAAGAAGAATCTACCTTGGACGTTTGGAATTGGTAAGAGGTAATGTTTCCTCCATATTATCTGAATTTGAGAGTACACTGTATATTCGTTTAGTAGCCTGCAATGTATTCTTGGCTTCTACGAAAGAGTCTAATTACAGTAATGTAAGTAACACGTAAATAGTTACCTAGTTCAGCTAACATTTCACAATCCGTTAGCACCCAGTCCGGTCGAGGTCTAACGCAAGCCTCAACTTCATTATCTGTTATACTGCTGTGATACAAGCACAGGTCTTCGGATAGCATCCAACTGCTGGCAGCTATGAATAATTCTTTGGACCCAGCTTTCCGTAAAACAGCATAATTCTTCTTTTCTTTCTGTAAGATATGATATGATATAAACAAAATTTACTGTCTTATTAGTCCGCTTGGCAATTGAATGCAGGAATGCCGACGATTGACACAACTGTCTAAGCAGGTTATGGAAAAGTATGAGGCAAAGGCACCGCAACTACATACCTATCTGTACGCATTCCAAAACACTTACAAGTAATGTCTGACGGACTAATCTCTACCTTGTATGGGCTAACTTTAGAGCACTTCCATATCCCCATTATCCCCATTTTGTCCCCATTATTCAGAAACTGTCCCCATTTTGTCCCCATTATTCAAAAGGTTGTCCCCATTTTGTCCCCACATTTGTCCGATTGGGGCATAATACAAAAAAATCATTTCTTTCGAATGCATAAGCCTAAAGCCATCTAAATACAATCCATTTGCGGAAAAACAGGGTCAAGTTCAGCTTTGCCAAAAAAAGACTCTTGGAGCGCCCCCTAGGCATGAACACGATAGCACATAATGTGCGCGAAAATATAGGCAATGCAGATCGTAATTTCGTGTGCCCGCGAATATCCAATATCCTGATTACGAGCTAGTATAAACCAGTCGTTTCTTTGAGCTCGCTTATTGATTGTGAGGCAGCGGTTCCAGATCTTCTGTGAGCTTCTGCGTAATAAGTCCCGCCACTCGACTGCTTTAGCTCTGGTAGACTTCAAGAGGAGTGGTGCGGGGATTGGTCAAGATGTGGTTTGTAGTATGCAGTATGTTAGGACTGTGTTGCTGCCGTGAATGGAGTTTGGCCCAACTCCCGTTGGTCATTCGGTGTAGTCATAAAAGCAGAATAGTAATGATAGTAATAATAATAGGTTGTAGTTAAGATAATATAGGTTGAGATGAGTGAAATAATAAAGGTGACCTAAGGAAAAGATAGAGTAGTCGGTACAGTGAGAGAAGGCAGAACAGGTCGTGAGGAATGAGTTTGTATGCTTATCCACTGACAGTCTGGTTTTAATTTTTATGAGGATAAGCCATTGAGACACAAACCTTGCATTTCTGCATGACTGTCTAGCTTCCGCTTAAAAATCTCCACAGATGGCGCTGTAGTCACGGCCGCCGGTAAAGCGTTCCAGAGACGGCAAACTCGAAGCGAAAAGGAATGTGATTGCACTCGAGTCTTTGGTCTCTGGTGTGCTATCCTTAGCGGGTTCCCTCGTGGAAGCCTATAATCACTTAATGGCAGGATGCTTTCATTTGGGTGGGCCTGTTCATTTAAGATCTGGTAGACGGTGATGAGGTCTCCCCTGTGCCTACGGTAACTAAGTGTGAAAAGACCTAATTTCTTTGGTCTTTCCTCGTAAGATTTGTTGCGGGGGTCGATCACCCATTTTGTCGCTTGTCTCTAGACACTTTCTAGAATGTTAACATCCCTTTTGAGTAGCGGAGGAACAATGACATTATGCACCTCAAGGTGTGGCCTCACATATGTCTTATATAACCTTAAGAACAGTTCGGGCGTAAGAGCTCCCAGCTGCCTATGCATAAAGTGTAAGGTTGCGTAGGCTTTGGAGACGTCCCTCGCGTAATTTCCGCTGAGATAAACATGTGATTCACTTGCTTGTGACCGGCCGTTTGTCATTAGAGTTGCGATAATTCCGAACATTATTTAGCTTTTTGATGAAGTTCGCAATTCCCAGGAGCGTTTTATCGCGTCGGGCGCATAATTGACAACATATACTATTACAGCTCAGGAGATCAATAATATACCAGTGGATTTATTTGCTGAATCCAATGAATTTATCCTATACGAATATCTGTGGACTTGACAGGAGAGTCAAGGATGCATCCAGTGTTCCAAAGAGGTGATAACTTTGTGCAACTTCAATTATCGCCTGACTATTGTTTTCAGATCCTTAAATTAGCGTTAAATACACAGCATGGTTAAGGCAGCATATAAGTAATAATAATAATAATAATAATAGTATATTCTCATTTTGGTATAAGAGTATATTCCACAAATGTAATCCGGGTTGCGTCGCGGGGAAAGTTAATTCGTTATTAACCAGGCAACTGAAAGATACGGGACCAATAATGTTCGCAGATCATTTGTCATTGTAAATGGTCAAACATCCACATTATTCATTCTCATTCAAAAAGTCAAACGGAAGCTAAAATGGTGAGAGAAAAAAGAAGACAAACAACAGCAAAGCAAAAGAAAGCAAGAGGAGTCCTTAAGGAGTGATTAATAAATATATATATATATATATTCTGTCTAGTAACTATGCTTATTTTTGTTCATTAACTAACTAGTCCCGTTATGCTAACTTTCAAATTATGTGTGAACTATATATATACTGTGTTTCTCTCACAAAGATTAGAAATTAGGCATCAAACGTCACAGTAAGCAGTGTTATAAATGTAAGCTTCATGTTTCTAGTCGAAACACACTGGGTCTCCATTCATTTTCAGAAGTAATCTTGAGTTCAGTTGGAATAAACTAGTTGACCCTATCAGTGTTGAGATATTACAGAGATGGAAATAAGTAAATACCTTTTTCATAAGATTAGGTGATACATTTAACTGATATGATTGTATTATTAGTGGTCGTCTATCTAGGTTAATGATGAATTCGTTGCGATAATAATACCTATTACTGTTTTATGGTCACTTTGAATATGAACGTTATTATTATTGATGTTAAGACTCTTATTATCTGTCATAAAGCCGTTGTAATTTATATTAAAATCTTTGTACAAGCTTTGGAAACCACTACATAATTTATTATTAAATAATTTTATCATTTCTTGATGCTTCGATGGATCTACTAGATATCGACCAACGATAAATTGCGAAGTCCGCAAAGTTCAGCGAAATTATTTGGCTACTTATATGTGTGTCGTTTGTAAGGTGATCGCTTGGTAATATTTATCGAGCAGACTCCCGGAAAAATTTTTCGAACCATACATGTACTACCATGTTAATATTGCTTTTCTGAAACCTTTCCAGACTTATGGAGAAATATATATGTGCTGTGTACTCATACAGAAACTATGAGGGTAACAAACGACTACTCATCCGAATTGCCTGTACATCTGGAATTCAATTTTTGTTTCATAAACACTTTTTCAGTGAATCCGTGTTCCTTATGTTGTGATACGATTGTGTTCCAGTAAGATTAGTAACATGTGCTAAGGTATGAATCGAGGGTAGAGAAGTAGGAATAAATGCAGCGTCTAGGAAACTTTGGTTTACGCGATTAGATGAACAGTTAGCAATTCACCGTGTTCTGTGGCTGCGAACCGTATGCATTTTGTTTTACATTATTACAATAACCGTAGTTGCACTGAGTTATAAGTCAAACAGTATAGACACAGTCTATCCTCATAGTACATTGTGACACGTAGAAATCACAAGCACACTATCTCAGGTGAAATTATTTCTACTCTGTAACTATGAATCGCGAATCAGTTTATGTGTTCTCCTAAGACGATAGATAACTCGAAAGGGCTTGTCAATCACGTCTCATAAACCGTTAATGCCCAGCTCTCGCTACGCTCGGGCCCACGCTGTTCTTCGAAGATTTCAGAAACGCTTAGTTATAACGGACGAAAAAACTAAAACACCGATCTGCCGTTTGATATTTCTTTATCGTTACACCACATATAAAAAGAATAAGCGAACTAAGGTTTCTGACGATGTTTCACTCTTCTTTCTGAACAGCGACCGATGAGACGATGACTGTCATATTGATGCCTCCGCGAAAATTGGGGAAGTTGATTTTAAGCAAACAACAAGAATTGATCGTTCAATCTTCAACTCCATTGACAGGGCTTTTTAATCGCAATACCTTCCTGAGATTTGGACATATTTACTTTATTTAACTACAACATAATCGCTTCACCAATAGGCTTCTCCGAATATCTACCTTTACTTAGTGTTTCAAAGACAGCCTCATATACTCTGTACCTCACAACTTCCTCAAAGGTTGATATTCAGTCTTCTCAAGTACAATATGCAAACGAATGAGGAGGATTAGATTTATTGATGAAATGACATGTAATACAAATCAATGACACTGGAAATCTCCTTCAACACCCAACTCCATGAAATCCCCAAAATTAGGTATTGCCTGAAAAAGAAACACTAAGTAATCAAAAGGTGTGGACATTTTTACCACTAAAAATAAAAAATCTAAGTGATAGAAAATACTAAATAATGCGTCAAATTGTGTATTTTTACGTCTGTCAATATAAATCAAGCAGACAAACTGGGCACTGAATCTGCCTGTGAACAGCAAATCTGTGCACTATTAGAAGTAAATAACATGTGAAAATAATTCCCAAGTATTTCTGTAAATTTCCTCCAAAGGGATGTATCTGAGGAAGATTTGACACCATTGTAGCGGTAAATAATTCCCCAAAATAATTGACCACAGCAATCACTCATTGGATGCTGACCACCACTGTATAAGTCGACTTGTTTAGCTGCAGGCTTCCGGTCAAGCATTCCCGCCATTTGGTACCCCGTCGCGTCACGTGCACGATCACTAGCTAGCTAAGCGTTCGTCTGAAGGCTTGTTTTGGTCCCGAAATATATCACTTACTTTGGACGATCAAATATTGGCTTTTGCTTTGTTGTTGGTACGCGAGAATATTTAGAGGCTGTGTAAGACAACTCCGTCAAACCTCTAAACCATCATCAAAAGTACACAACAAAGTGAAAATGTTTAACAAAACAAAGTAGCCTGCCTCATGATATTGATGTCTAATAATCTGTATTGCGGTACGTTCAAAGTTTGCGTTACATTTCTACGTGATTCGTCACATAAAACTTATCTTGTTGTAGTACTTGCACAAGTACTATACCACTTCCACACTTGTAACCATTAACTCTTGCTTCTAATAGTTATGGTTAATCAAAGTAAAAAGCAACGAACCCAATACCCTGTTAAACTGGTGTCTAATTTAACGTCCTTGATTGCTACATCAAGCAACATCCCCCCCTACAAACGGTTATAGTGAGTCCCATAACTCACTCGTATGCCATAAGCGTCGAGCTGGAGCTAAGTATAAACCGTACAGATTGCTTGTATTAGCACTACTCCTAAAAAATTCAGTACCCTCTGCTCATACATAACCCTCCCTTCACCTTATGTGCTTATCGAAAAACTCCAGCCATCAAGCTCTTTTTCAGTACTATCTTCAGAAATAGAACTTCTAAAGTTGTCTATAGGAGAACTTAAGGCTGAGTTAAGGGAAATAAAAAACGGTAAGTC